TGTATTTATTCTTTCTTCGGGGGAACAGCATCTCAATCCATCCGTCATTATTTTATTACTTTTTAAGTGTTTAACTGTCCGAAAAAAATATTTTTAAATGTAAATCTTCCGATCATACAATAACTGAACTACTAAATTACACATTTTACCCCCTACTCTGTGTAATGTTTTATTTTTAAGTTGTCATTAAGCGAGTTTGTTTTGTGTTTAGTTTTTAATGTTAGTCGCAGCTGAAATCGAACAAAGATTTGAAACTAGTGACTATTATATTGCCCATAATCTGGTGGCTGGGCACCACCAGATTTGAAACAATTAAGGTCTGCATTATCTTTTTGCAAATTAATATAGAACGGCCCTTGAACTTTATTACAAGAAGTTTTAGGCATTTGTTTACATGGAATTGAAATTGAGGTTATGTTGAAATTAAGCAGCTCTTCTTTCAAGAAACCTGCGTTTGTATTTCAACAAGAAGTTCACTTATTTCTGATCGATCATTTAGAACTTCCGCACTTATCCGTTATTTCTTTTTAGGAACAAACCTTTGACATCACTCGCTCATTGCATGTCGAATGTCCCTGTAAAGACTTTTTGACATTGGCTTAAAATTTCGTGTATTATCAGTAGGTATAGGCAAAGACCTCTTTATATATAGCTTCGAGTAACAAACAGTTTATTCCGATCAACTGAATATAACAAACACCATCGTCCATGAAAAGTGATTTTGAGTACTTTTGATGACTTCATTTTTGTTTATTACTGAGCAGAACAACAAAATATAAAACAAAAATACTAGCAAAGGCAGTTAAAGCCTCATAAAAAGTTTCTGTTATACCGTTCTATATACCAGGGCAGCATTTGTCGATTCTAGCTCTGTTTTTGATATTTGGTAGAAACCTGTGCATAAACCGCATTTATTCTATTAGCCAAAAAATAAACTTATATGACGTGATGCGGAATGCGTGGTGAATAATTATTAAAATATTATAGAGAATACGGACGTAAATGTTCTGGTCGAGCAACCAGGTGCTCGAAAACAAGGATTTTCTAACAATGCTCGTAGAAGGAAACCGGCCGTACGTGAATTTCCTCAATTGTCATCGAGACTCAGTCAGTCAGAAATACCAATTTTAGATAATTTAGCGAGTCGCAGCGCTTATGTGTGTGTGTGTATGTGTGTGTACGTACGGATGCCCCCGGGCCTTCCAAAGGTTGAACGGCGGTCGAAGGAAATGTTACAAGGTCTTCGAGATTATCGCGGAGATTGTATGATGCCGTTTTGTAATAATGCTTCTCCTTCTCTCTCTATCTCTCTCGCTCTCCGTTCTTATGTTTTTAATTATTATTCGTAATGGATAAAAATAAACGGCTAAGTTTGAAGACTTCATGCGAATGACAGATTATACCCCTGGGGTACTGGGCCGGCTTCTTTCCGCACGGCGCGCAATGCATGAACATTTATATGCGAACGCAGGGACGGACTGCTGGAATTGAGAAAAAAAAGTGATCAAACGTCATAAAACTCAAAATAAAAAAAACAAAATACAGACAAAATAGTATAGTTTCAAAAATTCAATCTTGGCATGGAGCGGTTGTGATTGGATTATTTTAAGGAGTGATTTAGGTGATCACTGATCTAGTATTATAAAGCGTTCAGAGCTGCGTGGATGCGTTAACTCCACTTTGCGTTGTATGCTCTTTAAGCAGTTGTACCGTTTGTTTTTTAATTTTTGAGATAAAGAACATGCCTGCGATGCCTCCAGAAATGGAGCTGTCCAGCAAGATTTTTATTTCGGTGACACCGAGGACACCGGCAGAGCTGAATTTTTTTTTATGTTGTGAAATGCAATTCTTGTAATTGCCATTTAGATTGCAGCTCCTGGAACAGACAGGAGCATAAGAATAAAAGAGTTAAGATAGAAATAATCGACTACTACTTTTTGCGTCGGTTGTTGATAAATTGCAGTTTTTGAAATTTCACTAACCATCGTATTGGCTTCTTTAGAGCTTAAAAAATACCCAAAAAGTCATAGAAAAAGTATATTATGCAACACGGTGATGATAAATGTCTTCAGTCGCTCGTTTATTTTTAACAAACTGACATTTATGAAATTTGTTGTATAATATATTATTTCCTGTCAAAACACTCTAATTTGTACAACCATATATATTATATAACACATATGTTGAAAGATCGGTATGACAGTAACGCTACTGAAGAATGTATGTTCAAATTTACGTAAGCGATTGTTATTAACTTACCACATGCTACTAAAATGCCAAATTTTTGATTTGATCAAAATAAACAATAATATACAGGGTGTTCCGTTTAGTTAGTTTCATTCCCAAAAATGGATACTATTGCGGAAAGCTATTATTAAAAATAAATGAAATACCCCGCGAAAGTGGCGGAATTGGTTTTTTGTTAACATTTCGTCCCAGAGAGTTAAAAAATATATTAATTACAAAGGATGGAGCGTTTTTTATCTATTATCTTTGGTTATTATAGAGTACATATGAGACGATTTTTTTTTAATTTGTTTGAAAGAAAAGTTTCTTCCTGATTTCAAGAACATATTTTCACCAGTTTTCCAATAATTAATTGTTAATTATTTAATTTTAAAATTTAGTTATCCATGGATATGCTGTCAAAAGTTTATTTCGATCGGCCTTTTTTTAAAAGTAATATTTTATTTAAGTTTTTAGTAATTTAGTCTAAAATTAATTTAATTAAATAATTAATCTAATTTAAAAATGGGTGAATTTTGGAAAAACAGCCAAAGATAACATAACATAATATACACACTTTATATTCTTCAAACCAGGAACAAAAATTCTTTTAAAATAGATTAAAATATACTGATATTAAAAACAATTAATATTTTGATAGATTTGCATTTTATTAAATGTTACAATTACCAAAAGATTATTGTATTTAAAGTTTTTTTCTAATTCTTCAAGATTTGACGGTAGGTATGGTGTAAAATACAGACAAACAGTAAATAAACAATCGAAAGAGACCAAGATGATTTCGCATTCAACCAAAAGCATTTAACTCTCTAATTCTATGTACTAAACCCCAACAAACTTGTCTTCTATTTTGATTGTGATTATTATGTTTTAGCCCCCGTTCTATCATTTTAAAAATATAATACAATTCTTTGTTCTTGACATGAGAAATATTTTGGGTTGATACGAACGAAACCTCCCTCTCCGAATACTTTATCGGTATCAGGTGACAATTTTCGCACGCATGTCGATCCAATTTACGCACTACATTTTATGGGTTATTTATTAAGTCAATGACGGCCATGAAGAGGTAATATTTTCTGATTAAATCTGCGTCGCAATAAATCACCTTATTGCCAAACACTCGAGAAATGCGAATGTCGTTTGAGTCATATTGTTCCAAATATTCTCAACAATTTCCCGAGTGCCCTTCATCTCAACTTTTTTCAAACAATGCTAGGTATCATATACGTAGGACCCAACTAGAATTTTGCTCAGCTTAAGGTTTTATTATAAGGTAACAAATATTTATAATCTACGAAAATTTAGCTTTTATTACAGTTTTTATGCTTTTATAAAGAAAGCATTAGTGCCACAAATTTTGTAAGAGGTCCAATAAATACTAAAACGCTAATAAGTCTTATAATATTGTACCCTAAAGGTTTCCCTTACATTATCTATAAAGTTTTCGATAAGAAGCTTTTAGAGCGCTCTTAAAAATCTTATTATAACACTTTTACTCTTCAACTTACTTCAACTACATATTTATAAAAAGCTAAGTTCACTTTTTTCAAGAAGAAATAAACAACTAAAAAGTGAGGTTATAATTGCATAATTGACATTTATGCAGGTTACTTTTAGTTTTGTAGCGGTTGTGAATATAAACTTCATTTCAGAATCACGTTCGGTTTTATTGTAAAAACATGTGCTCAACATGACTTGAAAGTCTATATAAAACTATAAAACTATTTTAGAAAGCTAACATATCAGACAAAAATATGACATTAAAAAATGTTCTGCATTTTAATTGAGAAAAAAAAATAAATGAAACATAATTTAGATTTCAGGTTTTTAACAAAATTACGCTCAAAACGAGGGCGCTTCTGTTTTAATTAAGAAAATGAAGTCGTCGTCGTTTTTGAGTTGTTATAATATTTAATGACACATTTTCATAATGGTGTCAAACTAAAAATTCATTGCTGTCAAAGTACACAGATGGGTTTTAAAGCGGTAACTAAAATTTATGCCTTGTCGTTATAATACTTACGTATTGTTTATAAATGGCAACCTCTGAGTTACAAATAACTGGAGAGTAAAAGTTTTTTATGGGACTACAATTTGGTCACAATTACCTTTATAATATTTTTCATTTAAGGGCTATAAGGATTTTAGTGTGAAAAGTTAATCATAAAATTAGATATAAAAGAAATAGAGATAAAGAAACGCAGCGCAAATTAAAAGGATTAATTAACAAAACTTAGAAGAGAGCAGCAAAGAAGCATAGAGATACAAATTGAAAATTGTAAATAGTAGGAATCTAAGTGAATGTGTAGTAAATATTTCAATTGGCTTTCATTCATTTGACTTTTTTTTGTTTATGTCAATTTCCATTTTATAGCGATTTATACTGAAAGCTCTCTTACAAAGAGCAGGGGAAAATAATATGTACTAATTCGTTTACTTTAAGGAAAATTTAATATCAGAATTTCTAGCAAAGTTGTTTTTTACCGGCTTAAAAAGAGTGCGCAATATGGATTACTGAATCACAAGTGAGCAAAGCAAATTATTTCAAATTTGAAAAATACGTAACCTAACTCAAAGTACAATGTTTTCACTGCTTTATCGAATTGAAATGATAGACAACAAAATCATTTCATTAGACGAGTTTTTTGAGAGAACCATTGTTCAAAAATTATGTTTTCCGACAATCCTTCGATGTAATAATTTCAATCGTTCGATTATCATGCGATAATTTTTTTTCTACTTGGTTCCAGGTGAAGATTTGGTTTCAAAATCGTCGTAGTAAATACAAAAAGATGATGAAAGCAGCCCAGGTGACGGGTGGCACGAACAACAACGGTACCTCTGGATCGCATTCGGGCCTGCTTGGAGGAAACGGGAATATATCCTCCACCAGTCCGGGACCTCAAGGTCAAAATATGATGCAAGGTACGATAAAACTTGAAGGTAATTTTTGATCTTTATCTTTTAATAGTATATTTTCACCTTTGTGCAAAAGTTGCAAAAATTGATAATCACATTAGCTAAAATCCTTTCCCTCTATTTGCACTATCTTCTCTTATCTCAATTTATTTTAGTGATTTCTCTCTTTCTCTAGACTCGAATCGAATCGAAACAATCAGGAAAACCTGTAAAAGTCATAGAAATCTTTGATGGTAACAGAAACTAAGGAGATTTTCCGTTTTCGCATTAGAGGTTCGAGACTTTTAGTAATTTTAATTAACACATACATGATGGGTTCGTATAAAGTCCCAACAAGATTAAAATTTTTCTGTCCTTATTTTGTGGGCACATTAAAAATTAAATTTTTATGCTCTTAATTTATGTCACATCAAGCTCACGTAAAATTGCAAACTGTCAGGAAATCTTATTTTTTAAAATTGTTGAAATCCCTGAAATAGTTTTGTTATCAATTAAAAAATGTCAAAACCGGATAGGTATTTAAATTATTAAAATCTTGAAGTCAAAGGAAACCTAAAATAAACGAAACAAGTAGGTAGATAATTGGGGAATAAGTCGAAACAAAACACAAATTAGAAGAAAAGGAAAAGAATTTGCAAATATTACATAACGTTGACTTCAAGAATTTATTTAAATTTACTTAATTAGTAAAATTACCTGTTATTACCAATGCGAGTATAGAATTGCATATCAATACTTTGCTGTATTGGAATATTGGTAATTTTGATTTGAGTGTTTCAACCTAGTTGTTTCCTAGCTTACGTTGTACAGGGTGACTGAAATTCGATTCAGTTCTTCAAAGGCGTTGTAGTTATGTAGATTCTATAATTAGGTAGCTCATTGCTAACAACTCTGCAATAAAATAAACTAAATTGTCACTACTTTTTTTATACTAATGCTCTAAGTATCTACTAAGAAGCTCCTAAAGCTTGAACCTGGCAGTTCAGTTAAGAATTTTTCTTTAATATAATGGCTTATTTACCAGCCCTCAAAAAACAAGTTACTGTATTTCAAAGTCAAGGCTTATTGCCGACCGTCATAGTTGGTGATTACTCCTTCCTTGAATAAGCTCGAATTTCTAATATCCAGTGTTTAGTTGGTGTTCAGTTTGTAATTTTTAAGGTATCTCAAAATGATTACGCATTTAAAATTTTTTTTCAGTAAAACATTAAACAAAGCAACTTTCAAAGAGTTGCCGAAACGTTCGGATGTATTATTTTCTGAAACTTGTTTTTTATTGCTTCAGGTGGAGGCGGTTCGTCAAGCGGGTCCCCAGCCACCGGCGGGTACATGCAGCACTCGAGCCCCGCTCCCAGTTCCACCCCCGGCTCGGACATGTCCGGGCAGCCCGCCCCCAGTCCGAGCGGTTGGGACGTCAAGCCACAACAACCGATCCACCCGCCACCTCATCCCGCGCCCCACCCCCACCCACCGCCACATAACTACCTCCCGCAGTACTCGTGGTACCCCACGGACAATCCTAGCCTTTTAACGTAAGTATTACTTTAATTGTCAATATCTGTTCATTATAATCTGTATAAGTTTGTAAACCAGGATAAATGTTAAATAATTGTTTTTATCTATGATATAATTGGCAGAATTGGTTTAATGAGGTAATTTATGAGGTTGTGAATTAAAAGTTAAAATATGATTGATTTATTTATGATTACGCATTTAATTTTACACAATATCACACCTCTTTATCATAATATAAATTTTTAACTTAGCTGTCTGTTCATAGAAAAATTAGTTTGTATTGTTTTATTCTGCAAGGGATGTTGGTGAAGTTGTGAATTATATATTCTTATTCCAATTCTATCTACGATGCGTTCCTGTTTCAATAGCCAGGACGCTACAGTACCTCTTTCATATGAAGTTTTGATAGTTCCTTGAGCTGATTGAGTTGAGCTCCTAGTACTCTTAATTGGCTGCGCCCTAGTGGTGGTCAGCTGGTTAGGAGATTAATTGGAATTGACTCAGCTTCTAAACACAGCCTACATGTGCTATCATCGTCCATCCCCATGATATGCCTGACTGTGCAGAGAGAACTACTTTCCGAGCTATTTATTGAGCTCGCTTTCTACCACACTGTCAGCTATTCCAACGGAAGATTCCAGACAATCAGTTGTCTATAATAATGTTAAAATTAAAATTCAAATTTGCTGCATTACCAGTAAACACATTGAATACATTAACTCCATCCTGTATACAATATCTTCAAGCACAACTAGAAATAGTTGCTTGCGGTTGAAATTTAAGGTAAACTAGAATCAGGTCTCATCATAATTTTTGTACAAATTTAATGGAAATGCTGTTCCTTTTGTTAACCTGAATGATTTTTCTCTACGCTCTCAATTTTTTTTTTATTGATATTCAATTATGGCTGTTTTTTAAATATAAAATATATAATATAATTAAATATAAATATATAAATATTAAATGAAAAAATAAAATATTCTAGTAGGCATGCTATAAGTGTGTTACTAAACAAAATTTACGAGCGATTGCTCGGAGTAGGGGAGTGATACTCAATTTCCAAACAAACACATTATTCAAAAACCAAGAGGGAGGAGGGGCTGACACTCAAAAACAGTAGCTCTCCCTTAGGCGTATATTAAATATCGTGCTATCCGTGGAACTAGGGTCGTTGGGCGCGTATTATCTGTGAGCCGTCTAATCGGGGCCAAGTGGCTTTACCATCTGTACTGCTAATTGTCTGCTGCAACCATGTACAAATTTGTTCCACCAGGGGCGCAAGCTCCAGTGGGGCGCGGATATTGAGTAGGAAGCCCCAGGAGTGAAGTGGTTAAGACAATATCTGATGTGGTCAAACGAGTCGTGCAAATGGTATACGGGAAGTCAAAAGAAAAAGAAGAAAGGCATTAAAGATAATAGACAACAAATTATTACGGGTCGATAGCGCGAAATAGTAAGGGGATATGGCTTACCGTCGATGTGAGGTGGCCTTAAAGGTTGAGCGTTATCCTCAAAAACCTCTCTACGCTAAATCCGACCAAGTTGGGGGTACAAACGACCACGTCTGTTTACCCGCTTATATTATTATTATTATTATTATTTCTGAGATCAGGGTTATCAGGTTCCCTCTAAATCCGCAATACGCGTGAGCTTTAAGCGACTCCTAACTAAAACAACCAGACCAAGGGAAAACTTACAGGAAGCACGCTGCTTACCGGCGGGAAAAGAACGCCAAAACCGCCAAAAAAAGAAAAGGACCATAGAACGATCGCCTCTACCGCTACTACAACGCTATACCACAGACAACAGCTAGCAATTCGCCGTTCAGTGCTTTAATTTCGCCAAGGAAAAATAACGTTATTCAGAACCAATTGAGTTATGGTACGCAGTACTATGCATAAGCTGTTTTGGTTTACTTCAAAACAAATAATAATTTTCAGTCAAGAGGGGACAGTGTGTTCAAGCACCGAAATGAAAGAAATGCGGCTTTTAGACGAAGCTTTAGAAACCGAGAATGTTTACAACCCTCGGTACGCCCACCGTACGTTACTAGTTGGTCGTAATTCGAGCCTTTTCAGGCATTAGCAGCACTACAAAAGACTAGATTTCATATCGTATACGGCCGACAGTTTAACAAACCAAGCAGATACCATAATAAAGATTGTTATTATCTGCCCAAGGCTTGTAGCATTAAAAAATCATTTTTAGATTGGACTGGAACCTATCAAAATAATGCACTCTATAACATGGAATTTGATTGAGCGTAGCTGCTGTCACAGTTTAGTAAGGCCCATCGATCTATAATATACCTCCCCCAAAGGTCAAAATGAAAAGAGTATTGCTATATAAACAAAAACAAAATGAAAATCATAACAAGAGATACTCAAAAAATTATACTTTATATACTTTTGTGAGTAGGATTAGAATCACCTCGCAAAAAAAGTACATAACATAATACATTTGTAAAGCCTTAACGGTTTCCGTGTTTGATTATTATATAAACATTAAATGGTTTCCACCAACGAAATAGTTTTTCAATTTTCCGATAAATTAAATAAATTAACATAAAACATTAACTGTACTAGGTACAACAATAACATATTATTTATACAGTAAAAAGCCAATCCGAAATAGGATTACAATTTTATATGGCGTATTTCCTCCTCAGGCTCTAATGACTTTTCTCATTTTTAACTTCAGTAGTTGATGGTTCCACACGTGCTTTATAAGATTCATATCCGGAGAGCAGGTAATTCTAAGACTTGTAATCCAACCTCCTTTAGGTATTCAGATACAATTCTTGCCACGTGTGATCTTGCATTAGCATGCATTAAGATCTCCAATATATGGCGAAAAATTGGACATTCAGCCTATATTAACTCTTCTTAGTTTCAAATCGCTATCTCAAACCGTTTAAAAATTATAGAGTGCTCCAACTTTCTTGTGTCGCCTGGTATACATGTAAACAGTCATTGTCACTCTACTCACTACAATTAATTCTGTGCGATCGTTTAATGAAATGCCTCCCAACACCATAATGGACACTCCACGAAAATAAACTAGTTCTGTAGTTAAATTAACCCCTTACAATTTGTATCAACAAACTAGTATCAACTTTCCGTACGATCTGGAAATTGTACGTTAACAGAGGTTTAAGCATTTCTTTATTCTGTCAATACCTTAACTTAGAAGTGCCTACTTTTTTTTTTGCCCATAAGCTCTATGCAAAGACCTGCATCTTTTCAGTTTTTATTTACCATTTTACCTGTTATGCGATGCGATACGTGTATACGTAATCCGAATTCTAATCAAAGCTCAAAATAATCGTGTAATTACTATTTCGGGTTATCAAATAGTTAAAGGGTTAATTAATTTTAACGACATTTTTTGTAATGCAAATTGATGTTTTTTCGCAATTAATTTTTGGTGAAAGTTACTTTACTTGGACATCAGGCAGTTTATTGTAGATGAGTAACACGCTGACCAAAAAAAAATACAAAATTCAAATTCTGTGTCCAGAAAACACCTATTTTTTCAATTTTATGCAATTGTCGCGCGCGCTTATCGCTTTTTCTATTTTTAAAAATCGTTATTTAAATAACGAGCATCGATATCGTTAGCCGTGCGCCCTAAAATATCGATCGGGAGCAATAATTACCTTCGGCATATTGATAAAAGACAATGCCAAATTATATATCGCAGCGGTAGTAATTATTATCGAAAGGAATTAAAGCAAGCGGATCGTAATTGGAACAACTTGCGAGTGCGACAACGTGTAGCCGTTTCTACGAATTTCGTTCTTCTCGTTACATGTAGACGGATGAAAGAAGAAATTGTATTTAAAAGTTAATATCTAGAAATATGTCCATAGTAGGATGTGGCGAAAGACCCTTAAGACCCTACTTCAGGTTTCAGAATATTTGTAATAGAAAAAGGACCTCAATAACAATACAAAATAGAAACACAAATATTTAAAAAGAAACGATTAGGTTGAGTGAAACTTCATAGCTATTTTCACGGCAAATGAGGAAAATATATACTTTTCTTACCCGTCCGGTAACTGCTCAAAGGATATTTTAAAAAAGATTAAGATTCTGACTGACCCTGAAAAGTAAGAACTAGAAAATTAATATGCACATATTATTAAATTAGCATATCCGCTAGTTTATAAGATGCTTGCAATAGACACCTGCATTTCTTTTTAAAGGCTTGAACACTGGAACTTTTTAGGATACCCAAAAACTAACGATCGTAGAAAAAGTGTAGTATGCAACACGTTTGGTCAACTGTTTAACTCACTCGTTTATTAAATACTCGCTCCGTTGCGCTCCGTCCGTGCCAAATAAACAACAAATAAAAAATAAACATAATATACCATTACCACGTGCGTTTCGTGCCTCATGGATCCGAGTCACTTCTGATATTTCCAGGATATTACCGCAGGGATTTTGAATGTTTTCACAGATTTATGGCACGGCTTGTCAATTCTGACGGTCATGTCAATGAATGTATTCGTGTTGTTTTGCAAAAATGTACCTAAAAACTAACGGTCGTAGAAAAAGTATAGTATGCAACACGTTTTGTAAATTTTTAGTCATTTTTATCATTTTTAGTCATTTTTGAAGAAAAAAAAAGAAACGAATTATTGTCCAATAATAATAAATTATTTAATTGTTGCGAGCTTAAGTTGATTAATTTTTTTTTTATGAAAAAATTTTCTCCGTAGGTAGAACCTGCAATAAAAGAGACAATAATAATATATTTGTCGTGACCTTTTTTCCTCTTGTCCTAAAAGAAGTGTTGCTTTCTGTAACAATTATTTGGAATCTACATATATAGTCCAGTAGAAACATGGTATTCGGAGTATATAAATAATTCTACCTTTAAATAATTCTCGCACCAATTAAAAATGTTGTTTTTTTGTTTTTGCTTCAAGTGGATTTCATTAAGTATTTAAATTCCATACTACTTACTAGGATATTTTTTTTTTAAATTATAATATTGACACTAATCGCAT